GTTATGACCGATATTTTAAGTCCGTTAAGAGAATATAGCACCCAATGTCGTGTTAGCCCGGAGGTTTATGACGCCCGCTTCTCATGCATAAGAGTGCTGGTTCGAAACCTACCAATAACAAGTACCAATGTGACTTTTTCCGAGTTATATGTACCTTCTAAGCTATCTAAATACTACTGCCTTTTACCCCCAAAGGGTAATATGTAGGTGCGCATTACGGCACTTAATGCCACTGTACAATGTAACACCACTTTTCACTGTTTGTGTTATGAGTCCTATGTAATAGGGGGTGAGCTTATTGCCATATATCGGGCACAATTCCAGACTCCGTGCTACAACTGAGAATTTTTAAAAACGCAGTAATACTTTGCCCAACCCGGGAATCGAACCCGAGAACCCTTGCCCGGCAGTCGCACTGTAGTCTACTAAAAATGAAAATCTAATTAGAAGTTCAAGAAACAGCCGTAAACCCCATGGCTGCCTGAACGGGGGCATCAAAGTGGCAGTTTAATTAAGTACTAATTTAACGGTTAGAAAGATAGCTGCATTTTTGAACCAACGTATTAAGCCTTAGAATCTATAGCTTAATGGTGGTCACAGTGAAAAGCAGTGTAATTGTATTAACGCACTATACTACATTCGCGTTAAAAATGCAGTAAAAACCATTGTCTGTCGGCCTAGCCGCGCCCCCTAAACTGATTTTAAACTTTTAAGTTTATTTTCATAAATTTATTAAACTTAACCTTTTAAAATATAATTTGTTTGAATTTCCCACTACTGTGAACACTTTTATCTTACAATTGCACTGATGACTCACTGCATTCTTAACGCGAACAAACTATAGTAAAGGATATACGAACAGAATTTTTCAAGATGATAATATATTTCTTATAATGATTTGACTGTTATATTTGTCAGAGAAGACTTTGTGAATTTGTGATATGAAAGAAAGAGAGAAAAACAGTTTATTTGCGCCATTACAGAAAAAACAAGAAAAAAAAAAACAGTACAATGTACACGGTGCAAAAAGGCCAGTGCTCAGCTAAAATACCGTGTCACGAGCACGATCACTCGAGTCGCGGCATTGGTTTTCAGCACTAGCCTGTGATATATGACGAATAATGTAAATAATATTAAAAAAAAAACAGCGTGATTCTAAGTCCTTTAGGATAGTTAATATTTTTTTTACCTCGCTGTTAACCTGTGTATCCTATAAACCAAAAATCTTCAAAATACTGGCAGAAAACGTGTTAAATTGTTACTAGGAATCTAAAATTGGATTTCTGTATAAATTCTGCATAGGATCGCAATATCAGATTCTCAGTGCATCGCCACGGATCTGCAGATATAATTTTAAAGGGCACTACGTAACAGCGTTAGTTAGAAGTGACAACTTAATTGGGTTGCCAGCTGTGCTACCCCGGCTAGTGTGTGGTATAAAGCTGGTAACCACTGCGCTTTATGAGATTGCTAAGTTAGGCTTCTTAACTGTAGATAACCACATTATTGAAGTCATTGTTTTTATTTTCGGAGAACTCCAAAAATATAGGAATAGAGTAACGAAATCCATTTTAATTCCCGAAGAAATATAGAGGTACACTCAACTGTGCACCGGGATCGGAGTCCTTGCGCTCAAGCCTCTTACGCACTAGCGGTTGACTGCCTAGGCGGTTCATATCGACAGACGCGGTTGCCATAGCAGTTGCATATGAAATTGGGAAAGCAGTCAACCGCAGGGAGCGGCTAGCCGCGCGGTTGACCGCTAGTGCGTAAGGGAGCTTAATAAAACCTAGCATATGACTGCCAGACAAGACTTTGGCACTCACATTTGCAACCACTCGTATAATAAGGCAGTGAAAAACATAATAACGAATCTTTTGTTCTAAACGATTTTGTTCAAAATCTCAGTAATTAGTTGACCTTTAAAGACCTTCCCTCTCAAAGTCTCTTTGATTTATTACTCGCCGCCCCCATTAGTACCTAAGTACCTACTACCTAATATATAACGTTTTTTTAACGTTTCCCTACACTAAGATTTTCTCCTAAGTCGTGGGTGCGTTTACAAACATACCCAGAAACATTAACATAAATAAAATAACTTTCTTACTATTCATGAATAGTCAGTTACTCTCCTTACCATGTAACAATAATGAATTCTTCTATTTTCGGAAACTAGGCATAATTATTACGAAAACAATTAATCTTGACGTAATGACAGATGGATGGCGCAAATAATGGCGTAGGGCTACGAACAGAGACGGATTGAATTTACAGAGCGCCCTAGGTAAGCAGCTCATAGGCGCCTCTAATTTTATTGGCGCCGCCAACACAGGACATGGTGTCTCGGAGGTCTAAGACGCCCGCTTCTCTTGCATGAGGGTGCTGGTTCGAAACCTACTAACAACAAGTACCAATGTGACTTATTCCGAGTTATATGTACCTTCAAGATTATTTAGACATCACTGAAAAACGATGAAGGAACGAGAAGTTTGAAATCGACAATCCACATTCAGAAACCGTGATGATTAATGCTCAAACCTTCTCCGTGTGAGAAGAGGCCTTCGGTCAGCAGTAGTCACTTATACGCTGTTGATGTGCGCTTCTCGCGGCGACGGCGTCGCGGCACCCCTCTGTAACCTGGCGCCCAGACACTTGCCTATAGTTTGCCTTAGATAATACGACTCTGGCTACGATTATTCAACACAAGCGACAATTTATTAAGAACACCCTGGGGATAAGGTCGCGCCGGCCTAATTAGGAATTATTATGTTCTCATTAAGTGTACAGAAAGAATTAATTCGTTATATAGAGGATGTTTATTCGAACTGTCCTTTCGTATTGCGCAGCTGAGCCAATTAACTCGTGCCTTTCAACTGATATTAGATTGCGCGACTGTGTTGGTCAAAGAAATATTTAGAAAGGATATTGTAATTGTAATTAGTTGAATTCGATTTTATAATTAAATAATGTATGTGTGAGATTAAAATTCATTCGGTTTTCGAAATCCGGAATGCCACCATCTAAATTATTTTTAAAATCAATATTTATTTTATTTTATTTATTTTTACATTTAGAAAGCTAGAATTGACAATTATATATAACTATAATTAAAGTAAGGCCAATTACAAGTTTTCGAATATATTTACTAAGTATTAAAAAAAAATATCGTGACTTGCCGCCAGTTGTCAGTAAATTACAACCTTCAGCCACTCACATTTCTTCTACTCAATATGTCAGCAAGCAATACGAGGAAAGAAAAAAAATAATAAAAAGCAGTAATAACTACATCTATGACCATAATATGAACCAAAAAAAAAAACAAACAAAAGAAGCATAAATAAAAAGCTTTTTTTTTTAAATGCTGTTAAATAAGGAAGCTTTTTTTAACCAGAACCGATCCAACCGACTAGTCACGAAATAACACGTGCAAAATTGATATTCACAGAACCTTCTCGAAATAGCTTTTATTTTAAAACATTCTTAGCCTAATTTTTACCAAAAAAACACAATAAACTTATCAAACGTAATTTAATGAAAGTGTATAATTGAATTTTGAACATTATTACTAAACTGTTTAATTTGTAATGAAGTACCAACTCATACCAACCGATTTTTCAAACTTTGCTCTAACAAAGAATATTGTGAAAACTGATATCAGTTGCAAGAGACAAGTTAATTGCCTCTCGGATGGAAAGGCAGTACGTCATGTCTAGACCAGTACCGTTATGATTAACACCACTTCTTACAAATATTTGTATTCTGGATACTGCCTGTTTCAGTGTCTAAAAGTTACTGTTAACTTAGAGATATATTTTGTATGGAAATTTCGTCAAATTAAGACGAAATTACGAGAAACTTAATCAAACTCTGTGGAACAGCTCTAAGAACTGCGTTCTGTGTATTTAAATTTAGATAATCTATATAAAAATCGACTTAAATCTGATTAGTAATTTCAGAGACAAGTAAAAATAAGTATTACCATATTAAAATTTGTCAAACATTATTCAAAGTACAGCAACATGGCAAATGAGTAAACACTCTAAAGATATGAGCCCCTAAACGGTCTAGTATGACGAGACTTATATAGGCACTTGTTTTTCACGGAGCTGTGATTGCCATAGTTATATCCCCATATTACATTATTTATCATATTAAAGTCACTTACCTTTTTTAACAAATTCTATGTACTATAATTAAATATTAAAATAAAAAATTGAATGGATGAATTATATAAACAGAACACAAAGGAATATAACTTTATACAGCTAAGCTCAGGTCGTAGAAGTGCTTTGCAAGCACGGCTTAAGAAACTAGTCCAGATGACAAAAAAGTTCTTTTTACTTTCTCCGTGGATTATTCCACGACGCGCAAGATTTTTATTACAATAAAAAGATACCTACTGTCAGCTTTCACTCGGATTGTTCAAGAAGAAAAGAAAAAAAACTGCCGAAATCGCTGACATTTGCCGAAAATGGTGGACGTATTCCAATTTCAAATTTCATTCGCGCCATATTGAATGAGTTACATTGTTCTCCGCCATTCAGCGTCCATTGCCTCGTTTATGTGTAGTTTAATGCCCGAAATGCGGTAAAACTCTCTATGAAACTGAAACGCCAGTTTCAATGTTCGTTTATCACTAATTTTATGACTATTTGACAAATAACTTTGTTATTTTTATACCATAAGTATCAATATTTGTCGTATAAACAACTCGCCGTCGGCTGTTCAAATATTCAAAGCGCCGAAATGATGAATTACATGATAGTTTTCGTGGTACATACATTAAAGCGCTTCAAAGAAATTAATCTATTAACAATAATTTTGCAAGATATTTACTTGTTTTTATAACATTAAAAACACATTTCAATAAATGGGGACTACACTAATATAATAAACATTAACCATTTACTAACAAACGGAGCAATCGCGAGTTCTAGGAAAACTTTACAAATGAAATAAAAGCTAGAATCTCAATGCAGAAAAGCAATAAATGAACTTACCTAAATGACAGAAAAAATACACCAACGCCGCGAGCCACATCACGATAGTTTATATTTTTTCACATCATTAGAGAGAACACACTTCTGTACCACTTATCTTCATTAGGCGAGCGGTTCTCTTTAAATTGTCATCGCCAGTCACATTCACTATTCACTCAGTGAATCACCCACACAAACGATCTGCGAACAAAAAAAGGCGAAGTTAGTACGTAATACAGATAGATAGATTTTTTCTTATTGCTTTCTTCCTTATGTTCGAATGGAAAATAATACGTATGTATTACGGCTGGTGATAATTTCATCAGCTCAAATTCGTCAAATATTACACAAGAGCCTTCAACTTGAAAAAGAGGTTTGTCATATTCTCCAATTTTGGGATAAGGCTTGTGAATCGAAGTTAGGTTACCGAATGTTTAGAGGACACTACTGACGTAAAATTTTCGTAAAGTTTTGGAACAATTCCAAGTCTCACTTCATCAACAGCCGGAAGATGTCCATTGCTGGACAAATGTCTCCCTCAGGGGACTAAGTCCCCTTTAGTCCTCCACATCGAACGACAACTCGCCAGTCCCACTTACCTTATTTAAATACTTAAAATATTTTTTAATAACTATCGTGAGAAAAGCTCTACTAGTTTCGAACCACAGAGGGGCCGTCGAACGACGTCACCGCGACCGCGCACTCTACTCATGAGGAGGAACCGCTCTGTAGTTCGAAACTAGTAAAGCTTTTCTCAGTTTATTCGCGTGAGAAACCCGCGATTTTAGTTAATTTACTTAAAATATCATTAAAGTTTACAATTTACCTACATTCGTTGTCCAATCCTAAGCAATTTCTAAATAAATTACGCACGTTCAAAGTACGTCATCGTGCTCATTAAATTCAAATGTAGTTGAACCTTTTGTGTATTTACAATTAAAACTGTTAAAACTACAACTAGGTTAGGTATATAGGTAAATTTCACACAGGAAAGTAAATATGGAAGTACCTAAGTTAGTTTAAGTACATCAGAGCACCTAAGCTCTAAAATATAATATTCTGGAGGCACACAGAACACGTAACATCAGCTTAAATAGTTAAACATCATTATATCAGTTACTACTTACTTATTAAGTACGTTCATAATAAGTTAACTTCGCATAATAGTAGTAGCTGGCTGAAACTTTATGACTTAGCTACACAACTGGCGTTAAAACTTTAGACAACTTGTCTACTTGATGTACCTCTATAATATTGTTCGTAATCCTTAACAACGTTATTTTATGTATACAGAGTGTGAACAGAACGATTCAGGGGACGCCGACAGGGGATAGTAGAAAACAAGTTCTATTTTCATAAAACATAACATAACATAACATCACGCCTTTTATCCCCGAAGGGGTAGGCAGAGGTGCACATTATGCCACTGTACAATGTAACACCCACTTTTCACTATTTATGTTATGAGTCCCATGTAATAGGGGGTGAGCCTATTGCCATATACCGGGCACAATTCCAGACTCCGTGCTACTACTGAGATTTTTTTTTAAACCCAGTAATACTTTGCCCGACCCGGGAATCGAACCCGAGACCCCTTGCCCGGCAATCGCAATTACGACCACTCGGCCAACGAGGCAGTCATAAAAGTAAGGAATTAAAATTATATGTCGTGGTGGCCTGGAGGTTTAAGACGGCCACTTATCATGCATGAGGGTGCGAGTTCGAAACTTACCAACGGCAAGTACTAATGAGCCTTTTTCCGAGTTATATGTACTTTCTAAGATTATTTAGACACCACTGATAAACGGTGAAGGAAAACATCGTGAGGAAACCTCGGCTTATGATTTCTAATTATAAGTTTGAATTCACCAACCCGCATTGAGCAAGCGTGGTGATTAATGTTCAAACCCCCATGTAAGAAGAGGCCTTGCTCAGCAATATTTATAGGCTGTTGAAGGAATTAAATGTTTCTTTTTGTAATAATAGTTGTAATCAAGTGCTCAAGGCTGGTGTCATGAATTACACACAAACAGAAACGATTAAAATTGTAAAAAAAATATATTTTTGTCAGCACTTCGGGACTGTTCCGTTTACACCCTATATATTGTCGCGGAGAACCTAACGGGTTACCGGGGCTCCGGCTCGACGTGCAGGAGAAGAAACGGGCTGGTTTTTATCAGTCATACTCCCTCCCGCCTCACCCAGGCGGGAGCAGCCATTCAATGATTTTTTCCCCCCTTAAAAAAACACCCTATATATTAAGGAGCTTTTCCTCGGTTGTTTACACTGAAATTATTATTAGGTGTGTAAAGCAGGTTATTTATATTCAACAGGCTATACTTGCCCACTGCTGAGCAAAACCTCTTCTCATACGGAGAAGATTTGAGCATTAATCGCGACGCTTGCTCAGTGCGGGTTGGCGATTACAAACTTATAATTAGAAATTATAAGCTCAGGTTTCCTGACGATGTTTACCTTCACCGTTTGTCAGTGATCTTAGAAAGTACCTCTAGATATAACTCGGAAAAAGTCAAACTGGTGCCTACTTGCCGTTGGTAGGTTTCAAACCCTCATGCATAAGAAGCGGCTTTCTTAAACCTCCGGGCCATCACGACATATTTATATTTAATTCTATCAAAGTTCATGACTACATAGTAAATGTAGTGAACAGCAGCTGCGCAACATATCGCTGATTCGGTTTACTTACTCTTGTTGTGCTTCTGTCTATTCGGGTCATAATCAGAAGTACCAGACAACTGTCCTGGATTTAGGTGTGGTTTTGAAAATACCTACACCCACAAAATAAGCCCGAAATCCTAACGTGCTGCCACATTTTAAAAAACCCAACGTACTGTATAGTGCACAACATGTAAAATTTTAGCTAGCATTTTCACTGTAAAAGTTCTCATAGAAAACTCCTGGTAGGCTTCTGACATAGTTTCACAAACCTATTTAATTATTTTAGAGCCTTTCAATTTTTTTACAAGTACCACGAAATAGAGACGGGCCTATTATTATCGTTCGACTACTATGTCTTAGGACTTTGTATCATCTTATTATTGAATTACTTACACGTCTTAGAAGTTACTAGATTCTACGTAAATATTATAACGAGTTCACGTTAACTCTGAGTCAAATATTTGTAATAACGTTTGATGAAACTATAACATATTCTACTCTGTTACATAAGCAGATGAATGGGCCTGTAACAGCATGTCGTTACAAACTGCGGGGTGTGTTCATGAGCAACACGGGTAAAGAAAACTAGATATGATACTCGTAAGTAAGTATCCATATATGGATAATCAAAGATGTTTTATTGATATGGAATATTAATTTACATTTTGTGCACATCACACATCTAGATTATTTTGGTGATTGAATGTCGCGAGCGAAATTTTATTTTTTTTAAGGGGTGAAAATCATCCAATGGCTGCTCCCGCCTGGGTGAGGCGGGAGGGAGTGTCAGACTCTTACTGACTAAAAACCACCCCATTCCTTCTTCAGCACGTCGAGCTGGAGCCCCGGTTACCCGTTAGGTTCTCCGCGAAATTTGAATAGGTTTTATAAATTAGCTTAAGCTTAAGTTTGCAATATGGAATTCATTTCGGACATTTGGGAAAGATGTCTTCTTTAATGGAAATAAAGTTCTAAATCGAGATATCTCTGTCAGTGTATAATGAATAATGTTGTGCATTTCTAAACCAAACAGTTGTCATTAAAAAAGCTTTACATAGAGAGGAATGGAAGGGAGGCCTTTGCTCTGCAGTGGGACGATCATGGCTGAAAATAAATAATAATAAATTAATAAGATAACCCCATCCAGTAACAACTATATCCGTGAACATTATACCAGCTGGGCGAACACAAGCAACGTATTACCGCGTTTCCAGCAATCAACTTGCAAGTGACATATTTAATGGAAGCGGTATAAACAAGCATTTTGAATCACATGAATGCAACTACCAATTGTTTGGGTTCATTGAACAATTACATTGTTATAATTAGTCATGTAGGTTTGTATGTTTCTACGTGGTATTCAACAAATCATGTGTTATTTTGTGCTAACAATGCTACTGTGGAAAATTCCGTGAGTTGCTAACAAAGGAAGTACCATCGGTATCAAACCAAATTATATCCACTACAGAAAAAACGACTACGCAAACACCTATTATTCAAGTTATCATATCAGTAGATAAATAACATAACATAACATCACCGAAGCTCTGGCACTTAATGCCACAGTACAATGTAACACCCACATTTTTACTATTTATGTTATGAGTCCCATGTAATAGGGGGTAAGTCTATAGCCATAATACCGGGCACAATTACAGACTCCGTATAACATAGCAAAGGATTACTGGGATTTTTTTATTGTGATTGAAAACTGGGACTGGGATTGAAAAATTTTTAATTAAAAACTGCCTGACCCTTAAATCGAACCCAAGACCCCTTACCTAGCAGTCGCACTTGCGACCACTCGGCCAATTAAGGCAGTCCAAAAATATCGTTAGTGATAAATCCGTAACAAGTAGAGGTAAAAAATAAATTGCTAAGAAAGTAAGTAGGTACCGTCGATATCAAACCAAATGATTTCCGCTACAGAAAAAACGACCACGCAAACACCTATCATTCAAGTTGTCATAACAGTAGATAAATAAATACAAATAATAATAGGAAAAGTGGGAGGCACTTCAGAAGAGATACTTGCAACTTCTTTTATTCTTAGTTAGCAAAACTTTTTTCCTATTTCCATTTGCTTTCTGAAGCGACGACCAAGTTACGTCTTGACAATTACATCCGTCATACTTGAAGGGGACCGAACCTAGTTAACGGGTTCCGAGAAAAAACTATTACTATCCTACGATTAGTTGACCTTTCCCTAAAAAATGTTACCCAATATGTGTGACCTTTTGAAAATAAAACTTGATGTCACACCGACGTTCAATCGTTAGATGTGATCGACACTTTTATACTAACAAGGTGTTAGATAAGGATATATATTAAAATATGTACGTATATATATTTTTTTTCTTTTATTTATTTTAAACTAGCTTCAGCCTTCGTTTCGTTTCTTCGTTTTCTCTCGTTCCCGTAGGATTTTCAGGACTTTTTCTATCATATGAACCTTCTCCTGACAATAATAAACACAAGAAAAAATCAGCCACATCGGTCTAGTCGTTCTCAAGTTATGGCGT